CTTCATGGAAGTCACTCATTACTTGTCATGAGATGCCTTGCTGGCTTATTCACATGAGTGGCGATGAGGTCAAGCAGGTGGGCAGGTGGAGAGCATGCAGGCCAAGCCATTGTAGACTAGTGTGCTTCCAATGCTACTGCTTGCGGCCTCACGGACTCAGACATATTTGACGGAGGCGAGTGTGGTCTTCAAGAATTGGTGTGGAAGATAGATGAAAATGCGTGTACATGTGGGTGGGCGGGTTGTGTGTGTGCTTGCCCCTAGAATGAAGCAGGCGGTGGATGCGCTGGACTAACACAGAGGCCAGATGAGTACACGAAAAGAGTTATAAGGAATGCCTGGTATACTGCCATGCGGTGGTGTAGTTGGTGCTGGTGGTCTTGGTGGTGCTGGTGGGGTAGGTAGGAGGAGGAGGAGGAGGGGAGTAGTGCTTGTTGGCGATTGTAGGTGCATGGCCATTTCGGGCCCGCATGCTGCACACGATCAAGCCTCCGGCATCTTTAAAGATGTCATGAAACTTGTCTCAGGTGGATCGGCTCCAGCAGGAGAGGGAGAATGCTGCTGATGATGATGACGATGAGGAGGAGAAGGAGGAGAGAGTTTGGAAAAAGCATCACAAGGCTACACTGCCTATGAGCTTTTTTCCGCGCAAGTGACCGTGCTTGAGCCGACCATGATGCAGTGAACACGGTGGACAAGGTGGCAATAGACTGCCCAACTATCGCCTGATCGTCAGGCTTACAACTGCGTGCGTGCGTGTGTGCGTGTGGTATATTAACAGACATTTTTGGATGTTTTATTTACTGGAATTCTAATTGCGTTTTAGCTGCCGCATCATCATCCCAGCAGCCGTATACGTCTTCCTCACCGGCTTGTCTATTTTGACGGTCTCTATGAAAGTGGCGCTAACGCGGTATGTATATCTCGTCATTCAGTCTTTCGGGATTAATTCATGTTTCGTTTATGTCAATGGTGTCGGTGATCCTTTCTGAAACTAACGCTTTGATTTTGTCAACCTTTGATAAGAGACTTTTAGCATTCGTATACAAAATTCTCAATTTGTCCTGTGCGATGCCGGAATACCGGCGTTTTTCCACTTCATGAGATCATATGCAATATCCGGCTGATTCTGATCGGGATGTAATTCTGTGTATGTCTGTGAGGACAGGCATGACGACAATACTCGGGACAACTAGCCGCGGTCTGGTGGATGTTGCTTCTTTAAAGAAGAGTAGTTCATTCTCAACGAACAGGTTGGCCCATTGGTGGCACAGGAGGCGGGCGACCTCCGAAGAGCCGCGAAGTTCAATCCCTGTTGGTCTGTGTCGACCATGCAACTGGTGGTCGTAAATTATTGCGGTTTCCGGATCGGTACTTTTTGCCACTGCCCAATGATAACGAGTGGGTTTGCTGATTGTAACCGCCGCTATGTGTTCGTCCCTTACTTCTGGGTCTGCTTTGCCTGCCTCACTTGGGCGGCGAGAAAGGGCGTCCGCGTTGGCGTGTTGGTGGCCTGGTCGATATTGACAAGTGAAATCGAATGCTTGCAGTAGTTCTTGCCATCTCGCAAGCTGGCCTTCGGCCTCTTTCATGTTTTGTAACCACTGTAAGGCCTTGTGGTCGGTGCGGACAATGAAGTGCTTTCCCACTAAGAATGGTTTGAATTGTTTGATAAACGTAATCAGTGCTAGCAGTTCTCGTCGGTAGGTGCAGTAGTTTCGCTCGGGCTTTGATAGGGTTTTGCTCGCAAAGCAAATCGGTCGTTCGGCCCCTGTCTCGTCGGCTTGTGAGAGTACGCCTCCGATCGCGAACCCGCTGGCGTCGCTATCGAGTATGAAGGGGGGAGCCTCAGGACTCGTGTCAGGTAACATTAATATCGGTGCCGAAGTGAGTTTTGCTTTTAACTCATTGAAGGCCTGTTGACAATCGTCGGACCATGTGAAAGGGCGACCTTTTTCGGTCAACCGATGGAGGGGACGTGCGAGCTCCGCAAAGTGGAGGATGAAGCGGCAATAGTAGGAGGCCAGGCCGAGGAAGCCTCTGACTTCTGTTGGGGTCTTCGGCGTAGGCCATGATCTGACTGCCTCTACGTTTTCCTGTGACGCCTGTATGCCTTGCGAGCTAACTTCGTGGCCAAGAAATGTGACTTTCCGTCACAGAAACTTGCACTTTTGTGGATTTAAACGCAAGCCGGCGTCGCGGAGAGCGGAGAGCACTGCGGCGAGGTTAGCGTTATGTTGCCCGGCCGTGCGTCCAAACACGATCACGTCGTCGAGGTATATTAAACAGCTGTGAGGGTATAAGTGAGCCAGGACGGACTGCATCAGTCGTTGGAAGGTGGCGGCTGCGTTGCAGAGCCCGAACGGCATGGTTTCGAATTCAAACAGCCCTTGTGGTAGTATGAACGCTATTTTTGGGCGGTCTTTAGGTTCTACTTCAACTTGCCAATAACCGGACTTCAGGTCCAGCGTTGAGAACTATTGGGCTCCGGCAAGCGCTTCCAGTGTGACATCAATTCTTGGAAGTGGAAACGAATCACGGGTAGTGACCGCATTAAGTCGCCGATAGTCTATACAAAATCGGAGTTTGCCGTCTTTTTTGGGCACTAATGTGACTGGCGATGCCCACGGCGACTTGAAGGGGCGGATTATCCCTGTGGTCAGCATCGTTTGAATTAGGTCGCTCACCTCCTTCTGAAAGTGTGGTGGAATGCGGCGTGGTGGTTGCCACAGAGGTTTCGACGTGCCGGTGTCAATGCTGTGACGGATGATAGCGGTGCGGCCTAAGGAGGTATCGTCCCATGCGAAAACATCGCTAAACGCAGTCAGAAGTGACTTCAATTCTGCCTTGTCGGTAAGGGCGACCGTATCATCTGGGGGTAAGACCGTGTCTACACTTATGGGTGGTAAGGCTACCGACGCTGCGATGGCCGCGCAGGTGGCTTCTTCGTCAAACTTGGCGGCTGTTGGGTGGTTAGGCGGTGGCTTATGCCCTAAGGATAGTATGCGCTCTTTGACCATAATACAACAGTTGTGTGCAGAAAGGAAATCTAGGCCGAGTATCATGTCCCACGACATCCTGTGAGTGACGACAAACGCTTGTTCCTTAATGCTAGTTGGAAAGGAGATGGGCAGTCGAACCATCCCTAACGTGGTCATGGGTGACCCGTCTGCGGTTTTGAGGTGTGGTGAGCGACAGCTTTGTCTGGCGAGGTTAAGCCACTTAGAGCCTAGTACATCTGCCCGAACTAAGGACGTGATGGCACCTGTATCGACTAGAGCCTTAATGGGTTTGTCGTCTAGGTAAATCGTCGTGTAAAACGGTAAACTATGTGACGCGTTATCAAAGCAGACGGGAATGATGTGGTTACCTTCCTTGGTAATCGCCGCCGCAGTACTGTCTCTATCTCCCCGGAATTGTCTTGGCCCAGTGTTGAGCGGTGGGGGTCGATAGGGCGTGCGGAACGTGGGGTGTCGGCTGCCGCGGTTGAATCGTTGTGAAGGCTGGTAGTGCGGTCTGGTCCAGGTGTTGTCTTGTTGCCCGCGGTCTGGCGTGGATTTCCACGATTCAGCCCGGGGGTGGTTATCGCCTGTTGGGGCATCGGTTGTTAGCAGGCGGGATGCCCGCTGGATGGCTTCGTTGAGGTCGCCCGGTGGCTGAATTCTCAGGGAATACGTCACCTCCTGGGACCCGAGTCCGCGTTTGAAGTGGTAAAGGACCACTTGGTCTCTATCGGCCGCTGACAGTGAGGGGAAGGCGTCGCGTGCGAGCCGAAGTAAGGCGTCGGCGAACTGCCGAGGGGTATCATCGCTCCTTAAGGAACGTTTTAGCAGCTGGTCAAGAGCTTCCTCTATGGTCAATGGGGGTTGGAATAGCCTCTGCAGTTGGTCGCACAGCACCTGGAAAAGGGTGTGACGGGTGAGGCCGGCATCGAGTGGCTTGTCCATCTGGTCGTCTGCAAGATGTTGAAGCACCGTATGGCTGCGTTCGTTTAGTGGAACATCGTCTAGATGGAACTTAAGGCGGCGCAGCCAGCACGAAAAATCTTTGCTCCCGTCGTAGGGTTTAAAAGAAGATGGAACAGGGTTTGTTGTACTGTTTTTAGACTGTGGGCTCGGCTCGTTCACTGCCACCATTGTAGCGTCCGACCTCGATACTGGTTCGGTGGCCGAGGGTTCACTGGTGTCCTTCTGGGTTGCCTGAGTCGTAACGGCGGGAACTGGGGCACTCTGTCCAATTTGTGAACCGTTAGGATCGTCCTTCCAAGCGTTCATTATCGAATAATAGTCCTCAAGCACACGATAAGCCGCGTAGTACTCCAAGGTTTATTGAGGAAGGGCAAAAAGGGAGAACGTAAAACGAGGGCAAAACAGAGGGGGGGACTCTATTAGTCAAACAAACGTTAGTTTCACAGTTGTCCAGGGAAGGTGGAGTTGGATGCTGCCACCGGGGAGGGGGAGTCTTCTTTCTCGCGCACCTCAACTGAAAAACAAGAGAAAGCTGACCGATAGTGTCCAGACACCAGGCACCCCTGGTATCAAAACTAGCGCCCTTCTCTATTAAAACAACCGTTCAAGTGTGCCTGCTACACAGTTACACCATCTCCATCCCGGGTCCTCGCCAAAGGTGTTTTAACTTTCAAACAATCCTGTTCATGCCAAGGGGCGTTACACCACAAAATGTCAATCTAATCATCGTGTAATGTTACAAATGGTTTATCCAATTGGGAGAACGAACATTAGGATGAATTCAAAAGCGGTGTGCACCAGTGAGTGCGCCGCCGGTATCTTAGTTTGTGTTATTTCGGAATTGGGGAAGTTTCGCTCGAACGGTTTTTACGCCTAATATTTGTTAACAGCGTAATCCTATGTTCTTGTGTGAATGGTCTCCTTGGAAAAGATTATGTGGAAAACTCATGATTTTGGGCAAGCGTCGAAAAGTAGTTAGCGGTGGCGTTTTCCACTGAAATGTTCCTTAATTTTCTCAGAAAATAGAATGCCGACTTGGGATAAATCCTTCGGCTCAAGGCCTTTCAGGTTCGGTCCATAGTCGAGATGAATATTCGAACCGACACTCACCAACTACAGGTGTACCAGCCAGTGGGCCGAAACACTCACTTGCATCACTGTAGCTGCAGAAAATCGGCGAAATAGGTGTTGACGCCTTAAACTAGTACCCGTGCTGGCAAGATCGTAAACATGAGGAGAGACGGAAAACGTGCAGTGGAACCCAATTTCGAAGATGTCTATGCGCCCGTGAGAAAAGTGTACAAGGAGTGCGATTGCAACGTTTGGGATGTGTGCAATGCCTTCGTGCACGTCGATGCTGCTGCCCAGTCATTATTTAGCCGTCAACTATTACCAACACTGCCTATATCTCCGCATATCCGCATTACACTCTTAATTATTGTCGGCGTTTTGCTGCAGCATGACATGTCATGACATCAAAACTCGAACCACGACGAAGCGTATTGAAGAATGCTGAAACAAACCAAAGCAGCGGTCCCGTTTATTGAGTTGTTCTCAAGTTGAACGCTTATATATTCATTTATATGAGACGCAAGATCAGCGGTTTAGGTATTTGTAGTTGAACATCTCGCCACTGGAATACACTTCTGCTACTTTCCCCTACTATGGATTCATAAATATTATTGTATGCTAATTTTTGTCATACATATTCATAATACACTTTAATATCCTATATGGTTTTTTTATTACTCACTTCCCTATCTTATTCCCTGTACTACTTCTGTCTGCGTAAGACAAACTCATGAAAAATGGGCTGCCCAGCTTTTTATGGTTTGAAACCCCCTCCGAATGAGTAGAAGTTCACGGCGCTCGTTTACAGCAGCCGTAATCGAAAAGTTGGGCTAGGGGGTATGGGTTTAATCCGTCTAATGGCGTTTTTTTGGTAGGCCATGGACGTTAAACTTAATTCTTATAAATCAGTGGTTCACAGTAGCGGAGACATTGCCAGGATCAAAAAAGACAACCCCCTAATTATCGATTCCTCTGCGCGAGGTTTCCTCTACATTCGGGAAATTAATGAGGCACAACCTGCCCTTGGGCACCCAGTGTTGATTACGAATGAGATTTTGTTCTGTCAAAGCTCATAGTTAGTCCCCATTGTTTTGCACGCGATAAACGCATGCAAGTCCTTTCAGGCCGTGTTTAGATAGGGAAATAACTTGGATCTGGCGGCACTTCCTTAAACCTACATCCGACTTGAAACCAGCGTTAAATTGGTCGCATAAGGGTTACGTAAGTGGCAAGGAGTCTAATTCTAGGCCAAGATGGATTAACATGCACGTGTTACATATTTCGCCTGGTAACTGTTCTAGGATCGAGGGAGTGCTAGTTCTACTGCCCACGTGACATTGAGAAACGGAGACCCTGCTGCCTATCATGGCCGGACGGATAGTTCCATTCATGGGATTCTCGACGGTTCTAGGAGGAACTACGATCAAATATTGGGACTGTTCAGTAAAAAATTTCCGAAGAAAGCAGAATTCGTACAAGTCTTGTGTGGACACCAGTATCTTGACATTGTAGGAAGGTGTTTGCTATTATCAAGCTCTTTTGACCCTCAGAATGTGGTGCCGAGGGTGAATGAGTTTCCTAAGAAAGTTAGTTTGTTCGTCAACGCTGTGCAGGCCAGTGTTCTCTAAGTGCATTTCTGACCAAAATAGGACGCTCCGCGGGACTAATGATTGCCAATTGAAGAAGTGGACGGCCTTAAATATTTAGGGATGAGTCTGTTGCTAAGTGCATAAGGTGGAGAAGACGTTGCCATAGTCGATTTCGCTCTCAAGCTCCCCACAAGCCTTGGAATGTCTAGATGGGCTTGCTTCTCGCCTTCCTTCTCCTCAAAAGTGTGTATGAAGCATCCGCCCATTGCATAGTTTTTACGGTTGTTAATGTGAAAACCTAGTCTATTGTGCACAGACACGACTTGTATGGAAGGCCACTGCGGTCGGCCGGCCTCCAGCGGCTGTTATTGAATGCACACTCGGGTAAAACTGGATGGGTGTACATTGTGTTGGTGGTTTTGAACGTCGGTCCCTAGGCCTAACGACATTCCATGATCGTTTCACTGTTATAAGTCGCAGCAGCTAATCCCGGTCTGTTTTTCCAGACCTTGCGAGAAATATGACCACATGGTTGAGATAAATGTCCTTTACGGAGTTAGAAGGCTTCGTTGTCTACGAAGAAATTGCTTCAATAAACTCACTCAACAGCGCAGACTCCGAGGACAATGATTGCCTGGCAGCGGGCCAGTCGAAAATAGTTCTCTAGCATATGTAGTCATATTGAGGCTACGATAAGTTAGTAAAAACCGCAGTGAACTTCAAACCAAGTTAAGCTATAAACATACAATATAAGCATTTTTGGAAGACAGAACAAGTAGGGCAGTCGGAGTGGGGTTCAGCTACCAGTGTACGTAGATACAATCACCCCTACGCCTATTTTTCCCAGAGCAGCTAAGACCTTATGAAAGAATTTGGATTCTAATGTTACATAATTTGACGGGGTTCCATTTACGTCCACGGTACGTAGGCAAACAGACTCTAAGGGGTTCCACATGCATTTATAGACCGGCAGCAAGGTTGGTCTAGGTTCTTTGAGGAGACGCGTCTTTTATTGTTGGCTCGTAGCCAACAGGCCGTCGTATGAGCAATTGATTCAAGATCAGTGCTGAAGCCGTTTTTTACCGGTTGATAAGACGGTAGGTTACTCCGATCTACCTGCGGCTGGTTGCAAGACCAGTGTTTCCCGAATTCGGGATTTGATGGGTATGTGGTTGTATAGCATCAGTATTCTACAAATACTGCAGTTTTTTCACGTTCATTGTCGTCATCCGCTGCAGTCTCTGCTGATGGGTTGTAAAGTGGGCTCGAAACGTCAGACAAATAAGATTGTTGTGCCAGCGATCGAGTCTCCTTCTCAAATTCGAGATTCCTGTTCATGAATGATTGCAGAACAACTTGAAACCTAATTCACTTGTGAGTCTCAAATCCACGAGCAACAGACGGTGGACCGCAACTTGTTTTGCCACCCTGTGCGGCCGTCCGAACAATACATGGCGATGTCAATTAATGTAAATAAGACATTGTGGACTGTCAGCCTCCAGGAGCTCAGCACCGCCAACTTCGGGCCCAGAACAGTTTAAAACAAAGATGTTGCGGAATCAGAGGGTACTAACAGTTGATTTTTAGTCCTTCCCAGTAGTGCAGAAATCGAGACTAGTGCACCAGTTTGCGACTGTCACACAAACATGACCATGGTCAGCGAACTTAACAGTAGAACACACAGTCAAAGGCGAGCTTATTTACTTGGACTTTGGCAGGACTCTATCTAAGTACGGCTATCCCGGTAGTGCCGAACAAGAGGGTTTTTCTGTCGGCCTACTTATGAAGAATTATGTTTGGCTTGTTGAACTGACAAGCTGGCCTAAAACGTCCTTCCCGCATGTTGCATAACGTCAAGATAGAGATGGGTTGATCAGTTTGCAGAATTTGGATTTGGTCATGGTCATTTTGCGCAGCTTCTGTGACACCAATTAATTATGGTTGTTAAATTCTACGAATAAACCTTTCTCAACACTGTGAACAGCAGTGGATAGATTGGGTTGGAAATCCCCTTCTTACATATCGTAAATAGTTATATTTCTAATGCAGTATAAATTGTCTAGGAAAAATACAGGAATTTGAGACAAGCGCTGTGTATGGTAAAGCAATTCAGGAACTTGAGTATGAAAGAGCGAATTGCTCAAAAATCTAAACCGAACGTCAGAGCTCCAGAGTTCGAAGCTTTGCAAGCGGCACTCTCTTGCATGTAACACCTGAAGATGGCAGACTTTACTAGTGTTCATCGTGCACTTCCTTGCTCTTTTAATTTTATGCCTCCGCAGCGAAAGCCACTCTTCTTTAATTCTAAAATTCAGCATTCTGGAGCTCAGAGGGTCGAGGAGAGTGTCCCAAAGCATGGCACAAACTAGGTTCCCCTGAACTTCCTCCAAGCTCACCTTGGCATTCCTTTCCGTTACCCGTTGTAGGCACTGCCATGTTCGATAACCACATTCTGAATAACGGTCGACCCCAACGCCAACGCAAGAGAGTTCAACGTCCAGGCTTTCTTACCTTGGAATACGGGGATTTTCCTTCCTATTCGGTGAGTTCAAATCTACGCGCCTAGGCCTCTTCAACCGTTCGACTGTCGCCTTCCATATACAAGTTTTTCCGTCAAAAATAGTCGGAAAATAGTCCAGTTGAATTTCATGTAGATGGGTGGTTTTCGAAAACGGTGACTTAGCATCCCCATGGACACTGTCCTACCAGGGACGGCAGTCTTTCTGGTCGCCAAGCGCACCCACTCGACCGCACCGTAAATACATTCTTCCAAATCAGTTCACTCTAATTTGGACACACCGGAGTCTGCTTTCCCAAATATAACGGCACCTCTTGACCTCATTTGTCACAATAGATCATAGTACTCAGATCTCAGAAGCTACGTGATCTCGGCCCGTATAATTCAATCCGATAGTGAGCGGACCACACCGGGTCGCCTTATCCCATGGCATGTGTGCTTCAAAGCGTCCAGTGTATCATTTATGAAACGTGGGTTCACGCACCGTCTTCTACCATCATTTTCGGCATTTTGCCGTCTTCCACCCCTGGAGGTGTCTGTTTAATTAATGCCCAAATTGACCCGCGAACGATCTGCAAGTGAAGGAAACTGTGATTTTAGGAAGAATTTCTATTGGATTAAATGCTCATTGAATAGAGAACGAATTCTGGAACTTAATATGCGTATTTTTATTCGCCCGATTTTTGACGTCATCTTCATTATTTGCTGGAGATTTTTTCTTTTTGCAGGAAGAAAGACTTGCCAAGGAAGAATCCCATCTTCAAAGTTACCGAACAACACAGAAGGTAGTCCTACGTAGTCTGCCTGACATTTCTACATTGGCTTTAGATTGTCGAACCCCCCCTGCCAATTGAACGTGTAAGATCTATTTGGACTCATAAGGCTGGTTTTATGAATAGCGTCTCTTTACGAGACGTGACTCTGAGCCCACCGAAAATGGATGGGCAAGCAACCCTGATGCGCGGCGGCCCCGTCTATTGATTAAAGCCAAAATAAGACAGTTGTCATCAACGAGCCGGTCAGGTGTATCGACAGGAGAATCAGACAAAACACCTGATGTGGAAACCCTTATGGAGGCGAGAATGGCAGGTTTGTCTTTCAGTCTTTACCACTGTATGCTTCCAGGAGAGAGACTGCGTCCAACGCGTCACACAGAAGAAACTAGTTCCAAGGAGATTGCTGCGGTTCCTGAGGATAAGCGCCATTTGTGTGAGTGCTGACCAATTCATCTACCTTCTTTGAAAAGACTTGTATTTGCCGTCTTTTCCTCGCGTATTTAACTTATTGGTTCAGACAAGTTTAACAAAGTCATAAGATACGCTACTGATATTTCCGTTTTCATACGGTAAAGACCTCCGAATGAGTTTAGTGTACAGGTATTTGTCGAAGCGCATGTTTTGGAGCATCTGTAGGTCAATTTACATTTCGATCTCTTGAAACTTTCGATTACTTGAAACTTTCTTGTACACCTGAACTCGTCTGTACAGTTTTTGGAATAACCAAACCCAGTTGTGTGTGTGTGTGTTTTAGGTTATTCTGTTAACTGCACAGAAGAGTTCAGATGTACAGGAAAGTTTCAAGTGGGAAATCGAAAATGTACATAGACCTAACACATCGTAGGAAACAACTCTGAGCCCAAAATCTGTCTGAAGTGATCTGCCAAGTGCGGAAAACAAAACGCCTATAAGTCGATCAAGAGGAGAAACCACAAAAGGGCTAGCCTAAAACGTACCTTTCTGGGAAGTTTGGGAATCACGCGTCTTACTTGCTAAAAAGCAACTTCTCTAATTCTGCCGAATCTGTGTCCCAAAACTTCCTAGGCATAAACTGGGTGGGGACTTCCTCTATCCGGCAGAGTTTCTTTCTCGTTTGGTAAAGCTTAAGTATGTGAGTATGCTGCTTGCGGTTGATCTGCCAAATGTAAGTTCTGCTTCCCAAGTCCAACAGTGTCAGCTGACCGGCTATGTGAGCCTCCAGCGCAAATTCCGAAACCCAGCCTTGGCAGGCGATACTGTCCAGGTGGCCAGCTGAGAACTTGAGATATAATTTTGTGGAACCATAACTGAGAACTGGACGCTAGGTGGGGGCAGTTTCCATTGACCAACTACAGCCTCTATCTATGAAAGAGGCTACCACTCCGTATAGTCCTTAATTTCAGTTAGTAGCGGTTATTTTTTGGTTTCGACTTTAGAAGCTGGTACGACCAGAGAACTTAGGCCTTTGGACGGACACGAACTGTTGACGTCAGAGTCCGTTTTGACTACTTTAACCACCTGGACTGCTAGGCGTTGTCTGCCAACTGTATAAATAAGTATGTTTCTTTTTGCAAGTCCGTCACGTGAACTGGCGCGTCTAGAAGCGTTTTGCGGAACAACCACCGGTTACCATTTTCAGTGGGTGAAAATGCTTCCAAGTCGTCTCTTACCTTTTGGATCATGTATGGCAGGCGTAAGAAGGATTGGATCGCTGCAGTATGTATCTGCGTTCACCGTATACGTATCCTACAACGAGCTCTTAAGCACCCTTACGTAACAATGACTTTGTGAGGTCATGAACTATTATTATTTTCTCAGTTGCGCATTTCCTTAAAGGTTTGGAAGTTTAGAATCTACTAGCGCGCCATTGAAATAGTGTAGGTCTTGGTTGGTTAAGTTACTTTCCGCCAGACAAACGCCCTTTTATTCCTTGACGAAGACATGCATTGGCTATTTGGATGGTTAATCACCAATATGCAATTTCATTCGTGCAGGCATCGAGTGCGCGAAGTGTAAAATTGCTTCCTTAATTAAAGTGCTACTTTTTCAGATTTGCGGCTGTATACTTGCGAGACTTGTGGAAAGTCCTATTCACAGAAGGGAAACTTGAAGGCGCATGTGGATGCCATCCACAAAAGTAAGTTTCTTTTTCATCACTGGCGTACGGTACAGCTCCCTAAAATCGCCTATATCATCCTTAAGATCCTTTTCGGCTACCTTCTTATATTTAAGCATATATTTTTCGAGTAGTTATTAGTTGCATGCTTGGTGAAAAACTGACTTATTTACTGAACCGCGTCCATTCCCCACTCCAGTCTGCTGACCGGCTCGGACAGCGGCTGGGGTGTGGAAGTGGGAAGGGAGAGTGAGGTCGACGACCCAGCGCACTTTCTCCTCACTATAAACAATCTGACGCGCTTGAAGCTATCACGGTGCGCTAAAAGCCGTGGCTTGGAAGGTTGCCAACTGACGGGGTAGCTTGGACCTCCTCCTTGACCGGAGGCGGTCTGAGAGTCAGGCTGCAATGGCTCCTTTTTAATGTGGCCTTTATGGCACCCACCACAGTGTGGGATCCGAGCCAGGCGTTGGCGGCACGCCCAGGTGCGGCTTCGGCCGTGCCAGCCTCGAAATCTCTGTTGTGTTGGTTGAAATCCTGGTTATTTGTTGTGCGGACCAGGGAGTTTGGTGGAACGCCAAGGTGAGGATCCGTCCGAGCCATCCACCTGCGGCCTCCCTCGTCTCCGGTCTTCTTGACTCTGTCTTGACACCGGGCTCGGGCGAGGGAGGAGGAGAGAGTATAGGTAAATGCTACGCAAGTCCACCGGCACTATAAACCCCTGCGTAAGTCACCGTCCCGGCTCCCATTGCTGCTGCAACTGTGGGACACACGGTGGACATCATCGAAACCGATGGTCGAACTGTCATCGCCATCACTGAACAAGCCTTCCTTATGGAAGAAAGGAGAGGGAGAGAGAGAGAGAGGGAGATAGAGAGGGGGAGAGAGAGGGAGAGAGAGAGAGGGGAGAGAGAGGGAGAGGGAGAGAGAGAGAGGGAGAGGGGGAGAGAGGGAGAGGGAGAGAGAGAGGGATGGAGAGAGAGGGGGAGAGAGAGCGAGAGCGAGAGAGGGAGAGAGAGAGAGAGGGGGAGAGAACGAGAGGGAATGTATATGTTTCCCAATAATTCCGAAGTAGACACCAAGGCTCTATGTTTGGAGCGACCTTTTTGCATGCTTGTTTCATATGAGTAAGAGGGTTTAATAGCGGCCAGCTGCAACTCGTCACATTCGTCGGATTTTCGGTCTGCTGCCTGTCGTATCAGATTGTTTTTCTGTCATTGTGAGGATTAGAGGCCGTCGTATGACAGGGGGGAGTAGTTTTACCAGTAAACCCCACGCTTTCATTTCCCCAGACAGAGCCTACTGACCCCATGATTTTTCGACTTGCTGGTTTCGGTAAGAGTTAGCACGGAAGGGGAAGTACGAGTATTAGTGCTGATTACTTCACGCCACCAAATTAAGTATGACAGGCTGTGTGCAGGGAACATTGTAGGTTTGATTGGGGGGTCATGAGTCCAAAAAAGACACACCAGTGCCACCAGCACTAATTTCTTGATATTGCAAGGGGAAAGAAAGCAAACTCCCCATATGCCTTGACTAGGGGGTGCCGCAGCATTTCGTTTGCGGGGACTTCCATATGACAGTGCGAGGTATTAGTAAATCCGAAGTAAGCAATGTTAACTATGTGGCTGTCGCGTTGTGGTGTGTTCGTACCTCGGCTACTTTCCCATGCACATGTACCCATCGTTGGTGCATCCACCCTATAGGTCCTGTCGATTAAAGGCTTCTGTTGCGTGACCTGGTTGCATCCTGGTGCTTACGCGTAACCCTGCTAATTGTTGCCCTTACAATCCTCTGTGAGATGTCAGTCTGGGTTTCTAGTTTTTATGAGAGGACCACAGGGCTTACACAGAAGCCCTGTTAATTCGTCCCAGGAATCTTTGTGATGGAACTGACGCAAAACAGTCAATTGAGGTTGGCTTTGGGACATCAGCTAGAAGGTGGCGTAGGATGTGGGCATTGTGTGACGCATTTGGTTTGTCCAGTGCCGTTTGCAAGATCTCGTGCAGAACGAGTTCAACAACTGCTCGCCGCAATCATCGTGTGTCCGCGAAGAATGCAGACGGGCGGGATGGGACGTAGCTGTCGAAGATAACATGACACTTCAGCAGGAATCCTGTGGAACTAACCGTCGAGATCTGTTTGTCTTAGGGAAGAAGTATGCTTTTTCCAGTTGTCCTCCAAGTCAGTTGATGCAAAACTGCAGAGACTAGGTTGTTTCAATGGCACAGTATCCTGTCAACGCGCGCGCTTGCCCAACGGTTGGGCGCTTGCGTTGCTGGCAATTCTTGGTCACGCGACCTTTTAACGGCAACTCCAGTAGCCATCTTGGCAAACCTGCGCATAGGAAATGTAGGGGGGGATCTGTGAGCATTGGTTTAATAGTTTTGTTGCCAAAGTTGAACTACCAACCATACGTGCCGTATCGTTTACTGTCATCCAAAACGCCGGCCATCTCTCATTCTCCCATCTGCATTCAAGTGAACAGTCTTAACGAGACCTCCTCCTCCTCCTCCTCCTCCTCCTCCTCCTCCTCCTCCTCCTCCTCCTACTCCTACTCCTACTCCTCCTCTCCCAGCACTAGATAGACAACCACTGACACCATTAACATTCTTCATATACTTCGTGAATGCTGCAGCAGGTGGATTCGAAATAAAATTGGAATTGTGGAGCGGTAATATATCAAAATTCCAATAGGAGGGTTTTTTGTTGCATGTGGTTAATCCCATCAACTGGCAGCTCACGATAGCTGACCGCCATAGTAAATGTCGATTGCAATGCAGAGTACCGTGAGTTATCCATTGACAAGCTAAACTTGCGTCCTAGACTGATAGTGCAGGCCGGTTTCATCAACGGCCAGACCTCTACCTTGCTGTTTCGCTCCAGGACTCATTTGCCCTGCCACACCCAAATGGTCGTACGGTATCTTTCTATCACGCACAATATTGAGTTAGATTCATGAATGTGCGGGCATTAGAAAGATATAGTCAGTTGGGGTCATAACGATGATTATACAAGATAATCTCCAAGTATTTCAGTTACACCAGCATTCCTGCTTTTGAATGCACGTCCTTCCGGCCGCCTGCACCAATCGCACCCGCCAAAAATGGCCACCCAAGTAGTTTGGGCCTTCCTATTGATTTTCGATACTCTAATAAATTCAGACCTATTTTGTATAAAACACGCACAAAAGCACCCTTTCTTGCAGTCATTTTGTACTAAACAACGTCTTCAAACTTTTTAATCGAAGAAGGGGTATCTTTCAGTCGTAACAAGTTTTCCAATTCCTAATTAATATTTTACTCGACCTGTCCGTTGTACTTGCGTTAAGGGTCTTCAAACTAAAAGCTGTATAGTTTCCATAGTTTCCATGCACCCCCCTGCGCCGTTACTAAGATACCTTATAGGGCTCTTAAATTTTTCAATTAATATGGAACATACTGTATGCTTCATAAGTAGCACTTATAGACGGACAGACGTGATGCTGTCCATATACATATATTTCGAAAAAGAATGAGTCCTATGGGAAAACGAACAAACTTTATTTCGTAAATTTTCGAGTCTGGTTCCCCATCTCGTCTTCAGACGTGTAGTAAGTGTGAAGTGTCCTCTGTGAGACGTCTGCCTAGGTTTCTAGTTTTCATTAGAGGACTGCCGGGCTTACACGGAAGCACTGTTAATTCGCCCCAGGAATCTTTGTGATGGAACTGATGCGAAACAGTCAGACGTGACATCAGCCCACAAAATTGACCCATCCTCAGCCATGACAGAGCAATATCGACTTTTTGGGCATGTTTCAATTTTGACTGCATCTTCACACCTACCACACGTCTGAAGAGGAACTGAGGAACCAAATTCGAAAATTTTAAAAGTAGAGTTTGATCATTTTCCCAATGGAGTCATTCTTCTTCGAATTATGTTTCTTGGGATGCCCATCTTCTAGTACATATATATATGTTGGAAAGGTAATACCGACAAAGACAAGGGAGACCGGAATGGCCATTTCTGGCTTATTAGCCGTCATCAGCCAGTCATACCCAACCCCAAGTGTGGATCACTTGAGATTCGAACCCGGGATCTTTGGTCATGGAGTTGAACGCTCTACCATTGAGCCACGGGCCCGTTGTCCTGTCGGTTGTGATCGGGAATATTAATTATGATAGTGGCCAGAAATGGCCATTCCGGTCTCCCTTGTCTTTGTCGGTATTACCTTTCCAACATATATCACTAGTCGCTGTGCGACTGCCTGCGAGGGTTTAAGTATGAGCCCCAAGGCACAACGGAACGAGCATGTTCCGTAACCTGATCGGTGAGTGCCCACTATCATAACATATATATATATATATATATATATAATGTTAGGGGGCGCTCACCGATCGTTCATACGGAACTCACTCGTTCCGTTTTGCCTTAAGGGCTCTCTCTCGAGCCCAACCAGCAGCCGCACAGCGGCGCATGATATATAGGCAGAATGATATTACCGACAAGGACAAGGGAGACTGGAATGGCCATTTCTGGCTTATTAGCCGTCGTCAGCCAGCCATACCCAAGCCCGAAGTGTGGAACACCCGAGCCTCGAACTCGCGACCTGTTGGTTTAGAAGTCAACGCCTCTACTCACCGGGCCACGCGCCCGTTGCCCTGTCGGTTTACGATCGGTGAGCGCCCCCTAACATTGTATATTCCCGATCGAAAACCGACAGGGCAACGGGCTCGTGGCCCGGTGAGTAGAGGCGTTGACTTCTAAACCAACAGGTCGCGAGTTCGAGACTCGGGTGTTCCACACTTCGGGCTTGGGTATGGCTGGCTGACGACGGCTAATAAACCAGAAATGGCCATTCCAGTCTCCCTTGTCTTTGTCGGCAATACCATTCTGCCCATATATCATGCGCCGCTGTGCGGCTGCTGGTTGGGCTCGAGAGAGTCCATAAGGCACAACGGAACGAGTGAGTTCCGTATGAACGATCGGTGAGCGCCCCCTTACATTGTATATTCCCGATCGAAAACCGACAAGGCAACGGGCTCGTGGCCCGGTAAGTAGAGGCGTTGACTTCTAAACCAACAGGTCGCGAGTTCGAGACTCGGGTGTTCCACACTTCGGGCTTGGGTATGGCTGGCTGACGACGGCTAATAAGCCAGAAATGGCCATTCCAGTCTCCCTTGTCCTTGTCGGTAATATCATTTTGCCTATATATATATATATATATATATATATATGGAAGAGGAGGATGAGGCGATCTCTGGGGAAGAAGGTTTATTCATCTGACGTTTCGTGTTCATGCTCGAGCACATCTTCGGAGATAGGCTAAGTGAGAAATACAGGGTTTAAATAGGCCATCTGCACTCTCACCCGATAGGTTCGTCCCGTTCGCTTCTCGTTGGCCCCTCTCTCGCGCGTAGATGGTGCCCGACGGCCTCGTATAGCGCTGGCAAATCGATACTTCGGTTGATAGAGTTCGTGTCTGATTTCCAGGCCTCGATCACTTCCCTCGCCAGTTTGCTTTCGGCTCGGCCGAGCACCTGGGCGCCGTCAAAGTCGAACTTGTGATTGTTTTCCAGGCAGTGCATGGCGACATGCGATAGTACGTCCTTTCGCCTTACGGCCAAAGTGTGCTCATGCATGCGCGTTCTTTTCGTTTGTCGGTCATGCCACAGTAGTTGGCTGGACAGTCCAGACATTTGACGCGGTAAATGACGCCTGACGTGTCTGCAGGTGGTAGCCGGTCCTTGGGCTGCATGATTAAGCGGCGGATGGTGGCCTCCGGTCGGTGACCAACGCCCACGCCTAGCGGCCTTAGCATGCGCTCAGTGGCTTCGGAGACGTTACTCACGTAGGGCAAGACACGGAAGATTTCTGGTCTTTGTTTCTTTTCACCGTCCGTCTTCGTGTACCTTCGGTACAAGCATTTGTTCACAAAACTGCGCGGATATCCATTGGCAAGAAAGAGGCGCCATAGGGTTTTACGCTCCCGCAACTTCTCGGCTTCTGTGCTGCAGTGTGTGTAGATGCGGCGAAAAAGGGTCCGGACACAACTGCGTTTATGCGACAGGGGGTGATTGCTGTTGTAATGAAGAATTTTCTCCGTGTCTGTCGCCTTTCGAAAGACACCAGTCTGGAGGGTTCCATCTTCCTGCCTCGATACCTGGACGTCGAGGAAAGGGAGCACTCCGTTATTTTCTTCCTCCATGGTAGATTGGATTTGTGGAAAAATTGAGTCCAATTCTCTTTTAAAGTTGTCTTTCGCGTCCCGGTGTAAGATGACAAAGGTGTCGTCTACGTAGCGCATCCAGAATTTCCGCTTGTATGTCTGGAAGACCCGAGCTTCCAGTTCATGCAAGACCGCCTCAGCCAGGTAGCCGGAGATTGGGGACCCCATTGGGGCTCCTTGGATTTGCTCGTAAATTTGGCAGTTAAACGTGAAGTACGTGTGTAAACAGTATTCCAGTAGTTCCATCGCGTGCCTCCTCTTAAAAGGTTTTCCTTCTTCGTCGTACCTTTTCTTCAGTAGGTCATCGACAGCCCTCATGGCCAATTCTTTAGGGATGGAGGTGAATAGAGAGACGACGTCAAAAGATACCATTACTTCGTCTAGGGCTATTGTGACGCCTTTTAGTCTTTCCAGGAAGTGTGTTGACGACACAGCTGTGTGTTCTGAGCCGTCCGTCAGCTTCTTCAAATGCTTGGCAAGCCATTTAGCCAGTCCGTATGTAGGCGTGCCTTTCAGCGCCACAATGGGCCGTAGGGGGACATTTGGCTTGTGGATTTTCGGCAAACCATAAAAGCGCGCTAGGGCGGCATCTTGTGGTTTCATTTGTCTCCAATCCTTTTCTGATATTGCCTTTTCGTTCCTCATCTGGTTCAGGCTCTTGTTGATTTGGCCTACCAGTGCTTTCATGGGGTCGGAGTCGATGACTTTGTACGATTGTTCGTCATTTAGTAGCTGCTGCGCTTTGGTAACGTACTCCGACTTGTCTAGCACTACGGTTGCCCGCCCTTTGTCTGCTGGAACAATGACAATTTCTTCGTCCCTCTTTAGTTCCTTGATGGCCTTTACCTCTGCCGGGGGGATGGTTCGGCGAGGTCTGTGGGATATGATGAGGGACGCGACTCGTTGGCGAATCGCGTTCTTTGAGTCCTCCGTGGTATCCGTTTTTGAGAGTGTCGCTTCTAGTGCGGCGATGAAGTCCACTGGCTGTGCGTCTCCTGTGTTGTAACTGGATTCATGTTGAAGAACTTTAACTTGGTCCTCTGTCAGCTGTTTGGATGACAGGTTGTGGACGGATGACGGTCCGGGTACCGTTGATTGTGCTTGTCTCAGATTAGACATTTTGTTTAGGAGTTGGGCCTTTTTCTTATTTCGCTCCTCGTTCACTTTAATCAAGATCCAGTTCTCCAGGTCTCGCAGTGTTTCCGTCTCCAGATACGATGCACATGCTGTTTTCGCCAACCAATTATGACTTGGCCGACTTCGGCCTGGTAGTTGGTTGCCTGTTCGTGACCGCTGTCACACATACGGAGCTTGTTTGCTTCGTGAAGCCAATAGATCGGTGTGCGCCCATTCCTGATTGATAAATACCCGATCTGCAGC